GTCGTTCATTTACAAAAGTAGACATTTGTGTTTAAGTAATGCAGCACGTAACTTTATGAAGCGAGTATTTAAAACTTGAAATATTCAGTAGAATGAAGATTTCAATATTTAAAATGGCTACCGGAGGGAATTTGCGATTTTCAAAGTCACTTATACGCTCCGTGAAACGTTGCAATGCTCCTTGTAATATACGCAACGATTCACACTATTGAGAATCAAAAGAATCTCGCGATAGTATAATTATGGATATTAAATAATGAATATGATAAATACTAAACAATAAATATAATGAATACTATTCAACGGATACTAAGCAATATAATAAAAATATCACGTTCTTAGTCGCTTCCTCCGAACAATACCACCAAAACGATCTTCAGCATACTTCCTACATACCAAACAAGCAATTTCATAACTCCTAGAGATGCATAAACATCCGCAGCCTTATCACCGAGCACCTTATCGCCGTTCGTTCTGTGGTAATCGCGCTCATCGCATTCTATTAATACGTGTTATCGCGTTGACTCATACATTCGGAGTTGCAATCGAACGGTATCCCCTACATTTTCGACTAATCATAAATTCCCAGCATTATCTGTCCCGAACGGTTCACGGAACAACGATCTTTCCGGGAACCCTCGATCTTTTTTGGCCCGATGGTTCCGATAATAAGGGAAGATTCCTCGGGACCCGAGTAACGTTCGACGACGAACGTGCGATGTTCTGGCCGCCATACGTGACTGAAATACGCTTCCTTGCTTGGCCGTGTCGAAAATAAAGATACATTCTCGCGTGGGAGGAAGTTCGATTTCGCCGGTACGGAAACGACGCTGCCGTGGAACAAGCGCAATGCCGAGAAGATCCGTCAGGCGAAAAAAGCTCGACGCGATTGCCAGTCGACGTCATGTACCGGGTGGCCACGGGATTTTTGGCGATGGAGTGAACGTGGACGACGTGTATAGGGTTGTCAACGTAATAATAATATTGTAATATTATAATATTTAATATTGTAATATTATAATATTTAATATTGTAATATTATAATATTTAATATTGTAATATTGTAATATTGTAATATTTAATATTGTAATATTATAATATTTAATATTGTAATATTATAATATTTAATATTGTAATATAATAATATTGTAATATTGTAATATTGTAATATTATAATATTTAATATTATATTGTAATATAATAATATTGTAATATTGTAATATTATAATATTTAATATTATATTGTAATATAATAATATTGTAATATTGTAATATTATCATATTTGAATAACCTTTGAAATACGAAATGTATGTAACATTGAACAAAAATAAAAATGTTCATGAAGCTCTAAGAAAACATTTAAATATTAGGACATCCTATACGTATTTTCTCACGCTAACTTCGAGAAACATTGCCACTTATATTTTTCAGTTAATGTATTATTGGTGACTACGAAACTTCCATTTTCTCATTAATTCGTTAATAATAGTTTGCGAGAAGTTCTGTGGTGTTTCGACAAATCGACAAGAAACAGGACGCGTTAATTCATCCGATTTCTGTTTGTTCAGACGTTTATTTGAAAATCGATTGAACATTCTCGAGGAACGGTTTTGATTTTAAAAGTGGAAATGTTAACTAGAACAAAAACGTTCCCTCCGATTCGTACCAACACAGACGGGATGTTTCGTAATTTGAGGAAACCGTGTCAAGGATGAACGAAAAAAGAGTTCATACACCGCGACTAAGCCATTGCTGACGCGTGACTTTGAAGTTCAACCTTGAAGGGGTTAAACACCTTCCATTATTCATTTTTACGTACAGACCAGAGATAAACGCTTCGGAATATATTCCGTCGTTTCCCTCGCAAAATCGCCATTTACCAAAATTCCGTGGAGCACAGTTTCTCAAGTACTATTCGCTGAAATCCGATTTCAAAATATCGTCACGCGTTTCTCGGCGAAATCCGTTCAATGTTTAATCGTGTCAGGAATTCACTTTGCGAGACAAATATTTTTTAGGTGCATATGTGTGTGCAGAGATCGGGCCCGTGTAAATAAGAATTGGAAAGCAAGCGAGAGCTTCACAAAGGGATTCTCTCCGGGCTGGTTCGATGACTTCGTTTCAACGATCGCGAGACGCGGCGCCGTCGACGACGGGAGTACGAGAGCACGGACGACAAATGTTCTCTGTCGTTCGCCCTATTTCGGACCAATTGCAAGAAATAAAGCGACAAAGCGAGCGCATTGTGGCGAAACCGGTGGCATCGTGAGAAGCAATCAAGTGCCCACGCGACACGGCGTGTACAACCGTCTCGTCGGATGGTTTCTTAATGAAGAGTTTCTATTCCAATCCCCGGGTGCACATTAAATTTTACTCGACGCTAAAAATCCGGGGGATGAGTCATACGATCGGAACGCGGCGTTCGACATTGATCAAGATGGCGGTCGTCGAGGCGTTCGGCTACGTAAGTAGCTTCGAGGAATTATTATTATAATATTAATATCGTTATACTATTATTATTATTATTATTATTATTATTATTATATTATTGATATAGTTATTATACCTTTTAAGCAAGGAAATATTAACCCTTGGTACTCGACAATTTCATTAGACATTCTTTGTTTTCTCACGAAATATTAACAATATTATTTGCAACTTACATAGAGAAGCATTTTGCATAAATTATGGGGCAGAGTTGTTCTATGTTCCATGTCATTACCTTATTCAACATTTTATATTGAATTTTTCATTGTATCATTTTGCGTTCAATCAAATGGCGATTGAGTTGTCTTTCGAGTGCAAAGGGTTAAAAATACAAATGGTCCATTAATGTTTGAACAGTTCAATATTAATTTTCGACAAAGTCTTTCAGTTTTATTTGATAGGAGATGGAGAAGTCGTTCTATTGTGTATCTGAATCTTGGAAGGTTAATTTGTCGAAAATAATACCTCGAAACATTGTAGACTATGATGTCGGAACGGACCATTATTCGGCACCGTCGAAATAGCGGTATTAAGATTTCGCGAGAAATAGAAAAATGGATTAACTTTGTCGGAAACAGCTGACGCACGAGATCTTACATCCAGATCTCGCGTTGAAACTGCATTCTTGGTTTATTAAAGACTATGAATTATTTATCAGGCAGATGGAGATAAAAAGAACACTACTCTTTCGAGGAGGCAAATAATGAAAACGGGGTCATTCGTGTTCATATGTGAATCGGAGAAGCAGACAGATTAAATCTTTCGCGAGTACGCGAAGATTCGACCCGGGAAAACAGAGCATGCCAATCAGTGGTGCGAGGAAGACGTGAGCAACCTTCCGGCCGGCGTTTCGAAAGGTGCGCCGATAAATGTGACTCATTATCGGATGCAGGTATCGACCGGATCGGTTGTCAATTGCCTTTTGAAAAGACGCACGCGCGAAACGCACGTCTGAGAAGCCTCGCTCGCTCGGCGTGGCAAGCAGGGCTTTCTCTGGGAACGATAGAGATTTTTCAATAATTTTCGGAAACTTGACAAAATCGTTTCGAGGGGAATTGTAATTTTTCGGTAACTTAGAATAGCTGTACACTAGAAAATCGAGAACTCCATAATAAAAACGGGACTAGTATTAGGAGTGATATTAAACTTAATTTGTTAGAAGCTGAAAGTGAAGAACGAAGTTTTAATTTTAAAACATTATAGGAGCAATGATTTAAAAAATTTAAGTGACGATTTAGTATTATCTTCAGAATGGCAAGTTCTCATTAAGAATTCTAATCAATTTCTATCTTAAGCAATAACTCGTCAGCAATCGTAGCAGCACGTGCAATCGAATGATAACATTTTTAAGAAACAGCGATAAATACAGATAATGAAGACAATATAAAAATTGAAGAACGCAAAGATAAATACTGAAAACGCGAGGGAAAAGTGGCTATTGCGAAAACAAGAGGAACGCGTAACGACAATAACAATTTGTAAGGATCATTTGTCAACTAACAATTGCCCGGTATATTAATCCTAATATTATTTCACTCTTTCCTTCGTGGTTCACGGCTCGACTGCAAATTGCTTTTTAAAAAGGCGCACGTGCGAAGTGCGAGCCGAGAGAGACTAATTCATCAGCAGCAGGAAGGAGGAACTTGTTGAGAATATTTTCAAGAGGAACGCTGCCTATAGACCGGAGAGTACGTTCAACGAATTGAATTAGAGACGATGCAGGGGAATTGAAGAAATCAAGGACGGGGACCCGCATTTTTTTACAGGATCGTATCGTTAAGTGGACTTTCTCGACTGTTTACAGCCTATTATACAATACGAAGGAATAAAAGTGCCATTAATCTCCGGCGAAGAAAGGAAAACCGGATTCTCCTGAGTTTACAGCCACGGAACGCGATGCTAAACACTTTATAAAACATAAAAATAGAACAATCGAGCCTCGTGAAAACTTACGGTCTATTACGTAACGCGATGAAACGATCTTTCGCAATTTAAACTTCAACGGCGAGGAATCTCAAGAAAACACCGATAATTCTGCCATAGTATCAAAACAATCCCCAAGAAACATCGAAACAACTAAAATCTCTTCAAAACCAGAATCCCCTTCCAGATACTATCTCAAACTGCAACATACCAAAGAATATCAAATCACCAGTAACCCTCTAAATAACGTAAATCCGCGTAAATTAAACCGAAACGTCTCGCTTCGAAATGCTCGAAGTACCCAACTCAAGTGCCCGAGAACTCGTTAGAGGCGTGGAAAGAATGACACAACGAAAGCAGAGCATGAATCACCAGGTCCACGAGGATGAAAAGAATCAGCGAGGACCAAAACACTCGCGATTCTCGGCGACGTAGATCCACCAATTAAGCGTCCCCTACGCGAACGACTCGTGGTCCGCACACCCCCCGCGAAGGGTGGACTCTATTTTCATCGATGATCGATCAGCCGGCGCCGCGAGGAAAACAAGAAGAAAGGGACGACGCGCGTCTAAAAACACGAGGGAGTCACCTTTCTCGCAGGACATCGATACGCCAGGTTGCAGGACACGTCGCCGCGGTATCTCGGGGCCGGTTCCCCGCGGGACGTCAACCGATATCCTTCCTCGCCCCTGTCCTCCGCGTAGATCATCCTCTCCTTCTCAAGGACGTCGGTTAAACCCCTGTTCTCCATGATCAGCCTGAGACGGTTCTTCTCCGTCTTCACCGTCTTCGGGTTCTGCTGCAGCGCGCGGGGCAGAGGGATCATCGAGCTGCCACGAGGACTACGCTCCGGATCGCTGCTCTTCGACGGCGAGGAAGCTTCTTGCCTGCCGCCGGAAGTTGTCTGCGCCAGTTTCTCCTTGTTTTCGCCTGGCATCCTTTCCGTTCTTCGGGTTTGAAGACCTCCTCTCGAAAGCTTCGAGCTCGAGTCAGCTTCCTTCGACGTCGATGTCGTCTGGTAAGTTCGCGGCCGTTCCCTTTGAATCCCTTCTCCGCTGATTGGAAGTTAGCTACTTCGGACGTTGATCGGTCACTTAGCGTTGTTCCTTTTTTAGAATGTTCTGTATCGATCGGCTAGCTGCTCGAGATGTTATTTGTAATTTAGTTTGCGCTTTTTTCTTGAAACTTAGCTACTTTGGATGTTGATAGGTTAGTTCCTGTTTGATTTCTAGATTCTCTTGTTTCGATAATTAGCTTCTTCGGATGTTGATACTGTTTGCTAACTCAATTCGTTGCCTTTCTCTTCGTCACTGACAGTTAGCTCCTTCGATAAATTCCGACGGGTTCCGCTAACGTGGTTTGTGTGCAGCGGTCCTCTTTTATGTTCTCTCGACTCGATTTGAAAGTTAGC